TTATTGATTAGCATGGCGATTACTCCTATAGCTTTCTATTCTGCTATGTTTCCTCCTTTTCTTGTGTGTTTCTATTGCCTCTTTTTACCTATTTTCGCATTTCCTATTATATTTCAGTCAAAATTGCTCCAGTGAAATCGTTGACGTCTCCGCAAAATTTCGATCGAGCTCGTTCTGTTTTCAGCGAGACGAAAAGTGTGGACTCATATGCGGAATTTAAACGAAAACACAGCCGAGGCATGAACTTCTCCCACTATTAATTTCACTAGACTATGTTGACTACAGAAGCGCGAGAACTGGTCCTCGTCAAGATTTTATTGCAAATTCTTTTGATTTTAGTTCCTAAATTTATTTTTATCTAATTGATTTTCGCCCTTTTTCTCGAAGGGACCAGTTCTCGCCCAATGTTCTTGCACTTTTCCATACTTGCACTTTTCTTCCAACTTACTTCTACATTCCTACTCTTTCTTTTAAAAAATAATCTTTGTGTTGGGTTGTGTACTCAAAACTTTTAGGCCTACATAATTTTACGGGATCTGCTTGAAATAACTGAGTGTGATCTTGAATATTAGAAAAGTTTCCCAAAAGCCCATATTTCGCTTTACAAATATTGTTTCAGCATCTCGAGCGGACCAGCCATCTGCGCGGGATTATAACTCTCTTCCCAGATCCACTTCAACTGGTAACATACCAGTATCAAAGAGAGATAACTCCTTGTCCAGTAAGCTTTCTACTTTTATTTATTTTTTTTCTGAAAAAAACACTAATTTTGGGGAGGCACTCTGAGATCAAGTTATCTCACCGGAATCTTCTAGGTGTTCGCTCAAAGGCGAGCTCGCCAGCTCGCTCCTACTATGAAAGCTCAACTCTTCGCTCAGAATACAGAACTCAAGCTAACGGTGGAACCCCTGACTACAGGTATTATACTCGAGAAAATTTTCGGGTTTGACTTATTTCATATCCCTTAATTTTTCTTTGCTGTAACCCCGTTTAGAGTAACATCAATGCACGAGAAAACTGGACCCGGAAAGTTGACTGATTTTGTACCAGAAGTGGAACGGAATGCGAAGAGAGAAGATGAGAAGAGAGGTAGTTTTAGAAATCAGAGAAATTATGAAGGTAAAAAAATCTTTTCTAAGATTTTTCCTATCGTCGTGCATCAGACGAAGAACCGCGTTTGATCCGTAATTACGACTTGCCACCAGCC